GCATACACTATTACGGTATATTCGTTTTGGGCAAAATTCATTTTATACAAAATATATTTATGTTGTGCTGTGCTGTCTGCTACAGAATTAACTTTTTTTTTTGGTTTAAGAAAACAAACTAATGATGAATGAAATTATTTGCATGATTTGAAATTTAGTGGGCTGAGTTTGAATTCACGCCTTTTAATGCCATATTCTTCAAATCAAAACAATGCATTATACTTAATTCATATTTAAATTCCACCATAAAAGGTAACTATGACCAACTCAACCATTTTGCTGTTCATATATAGAAACTAGAGTATTATTTTGAATTTTGAAGAACTTTATTGTCATTGTACAAGTACAACGAAACTGTGGATGCACCCCAGCAACTGTTCGCAATACAATAAAACCAGAGCACTTAAAAATGAAGATAAGAAAAATAGAGTACCCACATCTCCATTTGCAATTTGAGAGTACAGTATCTATGAATATACACAAAATATACATCCAACACCGACTGTAACGCTTATTTATAAATTATATTTGCAGAATGGCCTCCCTGCACCACACATGGAAAAAGAGGCTAGGGTTTTCTTTTCTTTTCTTTCTCTTTCTTTCTTTTTCTTTCTTCTTTCTTTCTTTCTTTCTTTCTTTCTTTCTTTCTTTCTTTCTTTTTCTTTTTCTTTCTTTCTTTCTTTCTTTCTTTCTCTTTCTTTCTTTCTCTCTCTCTCTCTTTCCTTCCTTCCTTCCTTTTGCTTTCTTTTTTTTGAGTCAAGTTTTTTTATTTATACATACAGGCTAGGATTTTCAAAGACATAATGATTATTTTGAAAAGACTAAACATTTTTCAACATGGTTTTAAAATAAGGCTTTTGTGTTAAGATTAACACATCTCCAAATGTGCCAGATTTGACCATGAAGCACTAACCACATCTAACCAACATCAATATTGGGATGAAGGGATGAGACTCTTTCCCGACTTGTACTGAATGCTTATAGGAGCAGCTGTAGAAATTCCAGAGGTCGGACTCTGAACTAAGTTGTGTACTGCATGTCTATGTATTCCAGTTTGCAGTTTATATGGAAGTTACCAGATGATTGAATGACTATCTCAGAAGTGTGGAAACGACAACCCCATGTTCGTAAATATGTATTCACAAATTGTAAAATGGATGCAGGCTGTTCACTCAAGGGAACTTCATGCCACAGATCCAGAAGACAGTTAAGGGGTAACATATGAAGAATGGGTGTGAATTGGTTTTATTCAAAGTCTTCTTCTGAATTGTTCTTTTAAATTTCCCTGATTGTACATTCAGTCTGCAAGCATGATGGAGTGATGCATCCTGCAAAATTCAGCCATCTGTAGCCAGGGATGCACCATGAGCACTTGCTGCTGCTAACTCATCAAAGGGCAGTTTTTCAGGCATACGGAGAACCGTATGGTTTTTTTTCCCTACAGGATTGAAGCTTGCTTAATAAGATTAAAATGCAAAATAGAGAATAGTTCATGGACCAGATGCAGCCTTATGGAAACTGAACATGAAGTCAGTCAGCCAGTCAAGGTGAAACTCATTCTCCTCTCTCTTCTCCAGGTAGATATTCATCTGGAGAATAAGAACAGCAATCAGTTGCTAAAGATTACTTGCATCATCTAGTGGGCATTCTTGACTCTGCACCATTTGTATCAGCAAAATTGAGTCAGTAACGGTCTGAAGAGGTCTCATAGGCATATGCATCCATATTTCAGGAAAACCGATCGGAGACATAAGACAACCAGGTTGTTTTCCCCAGGGTGGTTTTATAGTCAAATATATGCTTTTTAAAATGACCAATTTTAGCCTTGCCTTCTGTACATTTCTAGATATTTCTCTGTAAGAAATTGCATATCTCTCTATCAAAGCAGTTTATCTGACTGCAGAAGTTCTCCTCCCCAAAAGTTTTCATCTATCTTTATGATATGTTAGCTTTCTTGCTTATCAGCAGCTTTATAAAATACATAGGATTGTTTACAAACACAATATGGCAAATCAAAGTGTGTGTTAATCCTGCGGTCACATTAATAGCCATCGCTTTAGAAAGGGAAAAATGTAATTATTTAACCAGTTTGGTGTAGTGCTTAAAGGCACCAGGCTACAAACCAGGAGACTGTGAGTTCTAGTCCCACCTCAGGGAGCAGACAATGGTAAACCACTTATCTTGCTACGAACACTTCAGTCAACTGACCTAAAGACATCCTACAGCTATTTATTTAAAATATTAGTTCAAATGCAAAGTTATCTTGTTGATATTCCCATTCTGAGCCCTGGTGGCACAGGGATTAGAACAGGGGTCGCCAACCTTTTGGACCTCAGGGACCACCAAACTCATAATTTTAAATCCCGCGGACCAGAAACCCTGGGAAAATCTCAAAAAAAGTCTGCAGGAAAATTCCCCACCCCGTTTTCCTACCGATCGATCATTCTTTATTTGGAATTGCAGGATACCGTCTCCAGTTGTGTTCTCAGGGGAAGGTGGGGGGGGGACAGAGAGAGACAGACAGACTTTTGGCTTCATGCAAGGAAAGCAGCAGAAGTCTTTCTTTCTCTCCCCCAAACTCTGCCAGAAATGAGTCGGTGTGAGACTTGTCACGCCGACGCAGCCTCTTGGAGCAGGATGCCTTGCAGGGTCCCAAAGACTCATTTCTGGCGGAGTTTGGGGAGAAAGACTTTTGATGCTTTCCTTGTGGGCAGACAAAAGCAGAAGCAGAAAGAAGCAGCCCAGTGGCCAGGCGAGGTGTGTGGAGCGAGTGGGGCAAGTTCCTCCCCTCTGCCCTTTCCCCACTCCCCTCACTATCTCATGTTGTTCACAATGCAAGCGACACAAGCCTTGTGTTCCCATAGGCCATGTGGGCAGCGCAGCCTTGTGTTCCTGCACAGTCTGGATTAATTGCTTTGGGGGTGCTTTGGCGATGCCATTTCTCTGCGGACCACCAAAATTTTCTCATGGACCACTAGTGGTACCCAGCCCACTGGTTGGCGACCACTGGGTTAGAATGTAGTACTGCAGGCTAACTCTGACCACTGCTCGGAGTTCGATCCTGATAGAGCTCAACATTGACCCAGTCTTCCATCCTTCCAAAGTCAGTAAAATGAGGACCCAGATTGTTCGGGGCAATATGCTGATATTGTAAACTCCCCAGAGAATGCTGTAAAGCACCACGGAGCGGTATATAAGTCTAAGTGCTATTGCTATCCTTCTGCAGGTTATTGAAAGGAAATGGATAAGAACATACTGTAAGAGTAGAAAAACATGTAAATAGTACTTATGTAAAGTAGTCTACACTACCCTGTTAAAGTATGACCAGCAAGTGACATTAATGGAGAAGTAGCAAAAAATAAGTGGCCTGCCACTTCTATAGAATTGTCAGAACTCATCAAAATTCAGTTTAAAAGGAAAAGGTAGCTGGGATTATGATTCAGGAGACTGTGATGGTGCACTTGGTACCACACAGAGTCTGCCTTCAACCATATTGGATCATACTTTCCCAGTCTCCTATTATGACCCTCTTCAATTCCCATACAAAATAATATATATATATGTAGTTGCATGTTCAAGTATAATTTTCTAATTTCAATGTATCTTCATTTAGCCAGATGAATTTGGGAGGAGTGTTTATAATCTGCTCCACCACAATAGCAATAGCACTTAGACTTATATACTGCTTCAGTGTTTTTCCAGCCCTAAGCAGTTTAGAGTCAGCATATTGCCCCCAACTATTTGAGTCATCATTTTACCAACCTCGAAAGGATGGAAAGCTGAGTCAGCCTTGAGCCGGTGAGAATCGGACTGCTGGCAGTCAGCAGAATTAGCCTGCAATAGTGCATGTTAGCCATTATGCTATCACAGCTCAATAAAAATTAAAAAAAACTAATAGAATCTGGTAGAACTGGTTATTCAGAAGTCAATGCTATAAAGTTTAAATAGGGCTAACTCTGTAAGAATATGGAAGACTGTAGTCTTAAGTTTACTACATATGTTCCATTTCTGTGAAGTATTTGCCGTCTTTCAGTTCTGAATGATTGCATTTCTTTGACACCAAATGTTATCAAAACTTCGTATAGGTTATAAAGGGAGTCCAAAAGTACCAACACTATCCAATTTTGATCCTAGTTTCATTTATTCCATTAAAAAAAACCCCAAAGTATGCAATATGCCTGGGTGAGAAAGTAATCATCCCGTTAAATTCAGTAAACGTCTGTTCTTTCAACTACAATAATTGAACCAAATGCTGTTATAATTAGTGACCCGTGTCTCACACCTTCAGCTCAGAAATATCTTAGGATCTTCTTAGCATGAACAGTTTATGACAGGTTTGGCTACATTTCTGGTTTAAATATGAACTTGACAGTAACACTGAAAACACTGAAACTTGCAGACTTGCTTTCATGTTTGAAATCATTGTTCTTCTGCATGTCCCACCTGAACATCAGCTCCAGCTGACAGGAAGATGGATATTTTTGTAAATTTTTGTTATAAATCAATATTTAAGCTTTCTTAAGGGGTGGAAAATCATTTGGGTGCTGCGGTAGTACAGGATTCCCAAACAACAATACTGTCTCCATGTTTGATGGTTGGTATAAGGTTCTTATTATGAGTTTCTGCCAGCCCAAACAGCATAGCCTGAAAAATTTCATTTTTGGCTCATCTGCCAATAAAACTTTTCTCTGGAAATCTGCAGGGTCTGACTGCACAGATGGAACTATTAAAAATAGGTTTGTGATCTCCAGATTGATGGGTATCAATTACATTTCAATGAGGTTTTCAGAAGTATCTTTTGGGCGGGCAGTGGATGTCTGTAGAATCTGTGGGGACACCAGTGACAAGGGACCCTATGTGAGATTCATACAGCACACAGAACTAATTATTTAATGAAATAGCCACACAACCATCCCTACACTTGGCACTCTTGTTGTATCTTGTAGAAAATCACTTCTGAAGCATGCTGAGAAGAAATAGATTCACAGATTTTTCCCATATCACATTTATTACTGATACAAATAAAAAAAAAATCTTTAAAAGACTGTTACCTTATTACCAAGATTGAGGTAATATGTTTAGAAAACATTTACAGAAATCAATATGAAGTTCAGGAACGGCGATAAGGTGGGAGAAAGTTGCTAAATTAAGTTAATAGAAGGAAGGATTACCAGGTTTATCAGTTCTGGCAGAACAGAGACAGAAATAGTCAGATCGCACACCTAGGAGAAGAGCAAAGAGTTAATTGGGCCATAGGTGGGATGTCATGCTTTTTATAAGGAATAACAACCCTTCCGCTCCCAGTGTGTGTGTGCTTTGAGCTCTGAAATGCACTCTCCTCCCAAAGTCCAACGTATTGTCCTCCAAGGGACATTGCTGAGCAAACAGAAGCATGCTGTCTTAAGACAGAAAACAGAGCTCCAATTGTTTCTGCAAAATCAGACATCCATGGGCTGATAGCAGCCACTGAATGAAACCAGCTACCAGCAAAGTTGCCATGGGAGAAGAGGAAATCATCTTTTACAGAGCCCCTGTTTTGGAGAGGGAAGAATGTACCATTTTGCAACCAGGCAAGGGGGACACTAATTACAAGAGGATGAACATGGCACCATGTTTCTGAGTCTGATGACCATGTTCATGATTACATACCAACAATTAAAACTGCTACTGAAGATAATTACCATACTAGTGCTCTTAGTAGTTAAGATACTATCACAAAAAAGCAGCAGCTGGATGAAATACAGCATGTGTAGGTCTGTGGAACAAATCTATACTCTTTCAACTCCATTTAACCAGCATTCAGAATGGTCATCAAGATTAATACTTTAAGCACTCACCGGTTTTAGTTTTATAATTCATATGACAAGTCCTTTCAATTTAGCATATAAACACTCTGATCTTAAAATGTGTTCCTTTACCTCTCTAATTAATGCAGGTTGCATTCATCATTACTTTCCTTTTTCTGAAACAGAGTGTACGTTAATCTTCTACAAGATATGTAAGCACAGAGTCTTCTCTAAACAAGGCTGTAAGTATACACCGGAGGGGTGTGTGTGTGTGTGTGTGGTAACTGGAGCTTTAAATGGGAATGAATGAATCCAACATATACTATTTCAGCAGCTACTGTTGGCTATGTGAACAGATTTGCAATCCTTGTAGAACTGTACTCATCTCACTAGCCTGGCAGCTGGCTGTTTTAGGTTCCAAGGCTTCTAAAAGGCATGCTTCAAATACTAAGGAAGCAAGTGCTGGAGAGTTTAAGCAACCTTTAGCAAATTTACTATTACGGAAACATGTGGATGTCTGCAATGAATTATTGCCACAGCAGGCTGTGCTCTATTAGGAGGGTAAACATCCCGCCTGTACTGCAGAAGCGCGCAAGGTTTCTCTTGGCATTCACAGGGCAGATCAGGGAAGTGGAGAAGGGCACAGGAAGGAAAGGACCGATGCAGCCACTTCTCCAGGAAGCTCTTGGCAGAAAAGATGCCACTTTTCAAAAGGATATTTTGTAGAGGATGAAAAGAAGCAAACGAGGTACAATCACGTACACCTCTGGGGGAGAAACAAACCTGAGGACTCAAAGGAGGGCCAGCCTTGGGTTGAGTTGAGGAGAGCCTGCTCTGCCCTCTTCCTTCCCACCTTCGATGCTCAGAAGTGTATGTCCTAGCTTAATGCCTTTCAATGCCCCAAAAAAGGAGTCTGTCCTTTAACCATGTGAGCTAGCAGAATGAACTCGTGTTAAAAAAGCTGCCTGGCAGGATGGCAGCTCGCCTCCCGCTGAGGAAAAGGTAGGGAAAGGGGTTCAGCCAGTTCACCAGCTGGCTTTTCAAGAAATGTCAGGCACCCAGCTCCTGCACTCCACTCCTTAGGCCTTCCTTAATATTGGGCTGTAACAAAGGAGAGACTCAGCAGAGCAGAAGCAGAAGGTGGAGGTGGGGGAGGGGAAAAGGTGTACTTGAACTTTGCAAAAGTCTCACTGGCGAAAGCTTTGGGACAGACTTCTAATGCATTACAAATATATCAACAGGAGGTTAAATAAATTCTCAGCCATACAACCACTGATTGATTCTTCCTTTGCAAAACAGCCCTTTACATTTCCAAGTGAGGATTTGTGCTAGTGTATGTATAAAAAACTATGGCTATTAAGATTAGACACACTCTTTCGGTTCTAATTCAAAACAAAACCAGAATATTTAAATGCACACAGCTACTTTTACTATCTATAAAAAGACCTTCCATTTGTGTGTTTGTTTTTGCAAGTGTCACTGATGATGATGATGATGACGGCGATGCTGTATTGCAGAGGACTGCCGTAGACGAGGGTCCAGCCGTCTCATCAACTGGCTTTTGTAGGCAATAGCACTACCTGGAAATCATGGAGCTGGACTGAGACTGGCCGGAGGAAGTTGTAGCAGCACTGAGCTGAGAAAATCCACTGTGACTTGATTCAAGGCTGCTCATAGATCCCCTGTGGAAAGATGGACTCACAGTAATTATAAGACACCTTCACATGCCGAGCTGTATGCAAAAACGTATCATTGGTAGTCTTTGCCAGAGGCTCAATGCATAGTACTGATCATGGAGTTTTTTTCATTAGTTTTAGCTTCCACAACTTCCTGGCCAACCTGAGGAACCATGTGGGATACAGCAGGTGGAGAAGGACTGGTTTATATAGTCAGTTAGCCAAGGAACCAGAAAGAATCATCCATGTATATGCCAGCTTTCTAACGTCTCAAAGCAACTTCCAACTATTACAATAATCAGCAAGCCTCAAAGATACCAAAGTTGTATTATTAAAAAGCCAGATTACAACAAAAGAATAAAAAGTACTAGGTTGCCATATGTCTTTATAGCTAGCACAACTGAAAACAAAACAACTATTCCACAATACTTTGTTTAAGAACCTACAGTAAGAAAATAAATTGTTATTCAGGACTTAACTGAAGGACTGCAGTGACTGATCCCTAGTAGCAATGAAGAAAAAAGTACGTCTTGCGATTCCAACTTCTTAATCAATAAAAGAATTTTTCAATAAGAAAAATTAAGTTTTCTCTAATAAATAAACACATAGTGTATGGGATCCAGAAAATTCCTTAAATCGATTCAGATTGCAAATGATTAATCTGAGTCAATTTAATGAATCTTCTGGATTTTATATATTAAAAAAATGTTCATATATACAATTGCCACTTATAACCAAAAATCAAATTGATTTGAAGAGACAAAATGACAATGCCTGCATCAAAAAGAGATTTGTCATAAATTCATTTACAAAAGTATTTGGCTTGCTATTTTCTTTTCTCTTCAAATCAATAAGCAAAGGTTGCCATTGTTTGATGCAACTTGCTAGTCTAAGAAAATATTTTGCAACCATGCAGACAATGTTTGATCTCTTTAATGTTAAAAAAGCCCAGTAAAGCTATTTACATAGTCCATGATTACTGTAGAGACCTGCACATAAGTTTTAATCATAACAATTTGCCCCTTACCTCTCATCTGAAAGATGTTCTAACTCTTTTCCTCTGTCTCTATCAAACCAACGTTTGTTAGTATTAGTCAAGTGTACTTATTGTTTAGAGGGCAGTGGATACATTAGCTACCCCTAGAGATTATCAATTTTTCCTGTAGGACAAAACAGTCAAAATCACTGTCGAACTTTGTATAAAATGCTATTTTTTGTGAAATCAGTCAACCAAGGCAAGAAAAAAATTAAGGTTTTGTTAACTGAATAGCAATATAATATATGGATTTTTGCTATGGAGCCCAGCAAGTAATGGAGATAAGTGAATACAGTAAGAGTGAGAGACCATAAACATCAGATGAATTGCTTTTAACTAATGTGTTGTCTGAAAGTCACAGGCATTTAAATATCATCTTGATGGCTCTAAAGCAAGGGTCTTCAAACTTGGCAAGTTTAAGACTTGTGGACTTCAACTCCCAAAATTCCTGAGCTACCATGACTGGAGGAGGAATTCTGGGAGTTGAAGTCCACAAGTCTTAAAGCTATCAAGTTTGAAGACCCCTGCTCTAAGGTCTCTAGGAAAACCAAGTCATGGGAATGCTGCTGTCCCTGTACTATTCTGGGTAGTCTTTGACTGCTTGCATTTAAACTTAGCGAGCCATAAGACATTTTCTCTTAAAAAAAAAAAGGGGGGCAGGCATTTACAGTTAACTTTACCTGAAATCTTCTGACCCAATTACTTCTGTGTAGTACAACACTTTGCACTTGTGAGATGAGACCTGTAGAGATGCCAGTACATCATCAACACGAGGCAGACTGGTGGTGGCGCAGGCAGGCATACTGTGGAACTTCCACTGGAGAATGTAGAAGCCAGGCCATCTAGTCACATGAGATCCCTTAAAGCAAGAGCAGAGGAAACCAGAGCTAACAATAACTGTCCATTTGGATATAATGTAGTACACTTCACCAATTGGCAGTTGTAAGTTGAGTCTCCCTTTCATGCTCAGCCTACTTGATCAATTCAGATTGATCTGGCAGGCAGGAACATAAGAAACATAGTTCCATGAAACACAATTCAGTTTTCTTGAGTTTACGGTTGTTGATCATCATGACTTATCATAGATACATGTGAAAAATAAGGGCTTAATGGGCAAGTATGGCATACCTATATACCACGTGTGCCACAGGTGGCACGCAGAGCCCTCTCTGTGGGCATGCATGCCCTCGCCCCAGCTCAGCTTAATCGCGCATGTGTTTGCACCTCCCGCCGGCCTTCAGATCTCTGCTGCGCATGCCGGGGGGGGGGGGGTTGCGCTTTGCGCATGCATGGGGGGGGTGTCTTGCATTTTGGGTATGAACACGCGCGCATGCTTTGGTCACTTGGGGCCCAAAAGGTTCGCCATCACTGTTCTAGGCTATAGCTGTTTTTTAGGGGAAATATCCAAGTTTTGGAATCTCTGAAAATTACTTCTCTGTATTTTAAAAGGGTGGTATACAAATCGTATGACAGTAACAAATTGGTATGTTCTAAGCTATGCATAACTCCATCTGCAGGATGGTGGGCTACATAATTCATTACAACTTTACGATTCTACATGCGCCAGTCTAAACACTGAAGCTTACCACCAAGTCAAGATGTAGTACTAGGTATTATGTATGGCTAGAAGAAGGTTGCAAAATTTTAAGGAGGGAGAGAGAGAGGGATTAATCACCAACTAAAACAGTCAAAGATTGGAAAGTATATCCCCTGGCAGAGCTTCCTTATTGACATACAATTGATCTGTGAAGTGTATGACTGATTAAAATATCACTCTCCCCTTGCCTTGAAAGAGCAGTTACTTTTAAGGTTGAGTTGGTGAGGACCTCTAATTTCAATGTTGCATTAGCATCCCAATTTATAGTACTCTGAAATGAGTCACTGGCCAAATGTTCTGGCCTGAAGCAGAAGGCAAAATAGATTTAGTGAGAGAAACCAAACTATTTGAGAAGGACTTAAGATCTCTTCCCCTCCTACAGTCATATTAAGGCAACCCCATTTGGATGCAAAAACACACGAAGCCCTCACTTTCTAAGAATTTCACTCTGCTACAGTGATACATTAGGAATTCTATTAAGGCTGGCTAATGACATAATCACAAAGAAGCAACACAAGAATGCTGCTGTGGGCATTCAAAACATGCTTGAATTAAATCCTAAAAGCATTTCGCGAGGAATCAAAGTAGGGTTTGTGTTTAGAGACGTGTTCTCACCTGCACGCTTTCCCCTTCCTTGCAGATGAGCGGTGATTCCACCATGCTGTAGTCTCGTCCCAGTTGCCAAGCTTTGTCTATCAACTGTACGTTATTGCCACCAGGGGAGGTAATACTATGTGCCCCTACCAAAGAGTCTTTTTTTGGAGGCTGAGGGGCTCTCTTGGAGTGATAGATGTTGAAAACAATATCACCTTTACAAACATCAAAATCCCAGGTGATCACAGAGGCAGCTTCCACAATCTGAATGAAAATCTGGAAAAGAAAAGCAAGTGGCTATATTAGAAACTCATGTCACCGCAGATATCTCTACTGGCCGAGGCTCCCCTATCGGCCTTCTCTCAATAAGAATTGTGCACTGTGTCTGGTTTGAAGCCTGCTATTTGTACCAATAAAGGAGAATATTTTTGAAATACTTTGAAATATTTTGGTGCCCTCTGAGCTTGCAGATGTTTCATTAATCAAAACTAGGTAACAGCATCAGTGCTACTTAGGACTGGGGTTTGCTCTCAGTTTCTATTCTAGCAGCTTATCCTGTCAGTATTGGTGGAGACGTGGTCTTAAGAGCAGGGTGGCCCACATGCCAGATGCGTCACATGCTGGCCCTGTCCCCGCCTGGTTTAGCAAAGGGGAAAAAAGTCCTGATACGTCACATGATGCCGCCGTGATGCGGTGAGTTTGACACCCCTGTCTTAGAGGTTCGTGGTTGGGCCGCTTACTGTTAGCTTGTTTGGCAGATCCTTGACTGGGGTATTGTTTACTTGATTGTTGGTCTGATGTTACTCTTGGAGTTAAGCTATGCTCATCTAAGTGCTGATTGCTGGTGGACAGGTGCTTGGGTCTTTTTGTTCCCTTTTTGGCTTGTTGATTATCTCTTTTGCATATTATGTAGATATTGTTTATGTCTATGTGTCTGTTGATGGCTAATTTGTCAGGGTGCCAGGCTTCTTGAAATTCCCTGGTGTTTTTGGACTTGGCTTGGTTTAGGATGGTCACAGTTTCCAATTGAAACCATGGTTAAGTTTGTCCATGGTTACAGTGCCACCTATCAGAAATCAGACTGAAGAGTTCATCTAGCTACAACATCCATTAATTGTGTAACATACTTAAAGCAACAGGGTCTGCTATTGTTCAATTTTAATATCTTCACGTTAGATGATTGTTAAAACCTTCAAATTGTAAACCAAAATCTGATACCCGAAGTCAGAAACATAGGAAAGATCTATGATTATTTAAGCAAAAATAATCAAGAACCAGACCAGAAGAATAGGAAGACTAGGAAAATACTGGGAGCCAAGCATTAGCAGAGAGGCCTCCAAACTTGGCAACTTTAAGCTATGCTGGCTGGAGAATTCTGGGAGTTGAAGTCCACAAATCTTAAAGTTGCCAAGTTTGGGGATCCCTGCATTAGCAGAACTGTTAACACTTGAACTAGTTCTGAAACTAAAATTGCTTCCAAAAATCCTCCCCACATACCTGCTTGGCTATCTTTACCGTAGGCTGCCCAGATAGATAGCAGGCCTTAAGGAAAGCTGAACTGGTTAGTACTCAGAGAAAAGCCTACCAGAAAATAGCAAAACTACAGAGGCTAGACTAGGAATTAAAAAAAAAAAAAGCCAGAAAATATCCATGGTAAACCATTTCCTTAATAGTCCTAAGAAAACAACATGGACTTATTCATGAGGTTATCAGGAATTGACCTCAAATGGAAGATTATTTTTTAGCAAACACCAGAGGTAAAGGGGAAAAATAAAATGATTTACCTCATGGGGAGCCCCTTTGAAGACACTTGCAGACTGATAGATAGTTTCTGTCCACAATTTTATGTCTTCATTTTCCAATTCTTCTGCTGTCCGGTACAAAGATTTGGGAACCAGCCCACCTTCTGGAACTTCACACTAAATAAATGTAATTAAAGTGTGGAGAGAAAAGAGTTAGAAAAATGGATCTGTTTCTGCCCCAACTGAAAACATCCCAGGAAGAATATTCCAGAGTCAATTTGAAATAGCAAGAAGCTGTAAACAAATTAATGAATAAAACAACCCTCTGTGACTGGAAATGACCCAATTTTCTCACTGTAGCTTATGTCTGCCCTCACAACATCAAGCAGACACTGATGAGGCACAGACTGAGGGTTAGTTAATTGGCCTGAAACACTGGATTCTGCTGACTTCACTGCAAGACAAGCTGAATTCAAAAACTAGCTCTTCAGTAGTAAAAGAACATCATCTGCAGTGCTATATACAAATGAATACTGTGCATAGGCAGGATTTGAGTGCATTATTATCAAAGGTATATATTACAACATATATTCTAAAGATGTTACCTAAATGACATGGTTCTATCACGGGGTCTGGGGATTCTGCAGATGTGGGGAGCCAGCAAGATGGCTGTTTCTGTGAGCGGTAGCTGCCAGTCTCCTACGCATTTACATTTTTGATTTATTGTGATTTTGATTTATTTATTTATTTACACAAGTTTGGTTTTTGCTGTTTTAACTTGAAAACTGCTTAGAATCATGGAATAAGAGGGGGACTAGATTAATTTTAAAGCAAAGCAAAACATTTTCTTGAAGTAGCGACTGTGAGGTTTCAAGGTTGGGTGGACAATGTGACAACACACTTTGTAAGTAGCCATCCTGAAGTTGTCTCCCAGAGTAAGCAGCTCCAGGCTAACTTGAAGCCTCTTCTAGAAAGCACCTCAGAGAAGCAAGTGTCATGGCAAAGCATGTTTCACACCACTCAACTGTCCCAACTGCTTGCCAACAGTGAGAGAGGCCAGCAGCCCAGAAAACGTCTTGTTGTGTCACTTGCCCCTCCCTGATTCCCAGCATCTAGCTGACAGAGGAAAGCATTACACAAGAATGCATTTTCTCATGCTGCTTTCCTTATCCCAATTTCTAGATTCATTAAGGGGACTAGTGGCACAAAAGCATGAATCTTGCTGGAGGCCCAGAAAGTCTTTGGGAGTGCTCTAGAAAAACACTAAGAGCCCTCTCCATATGAAGTCCCTTGGGGGTTAATTAACCCACACAAATGCTGTGAGACTGCCTACAATATGTGCTGAAGGGCCCCAGACCAGAAGTGTGTGTCAAAGGACTTTTAGACTGGGTGACTTTCACAAAGCCTTTGAGAAATCTCAAAACGTCCCAGCCTAGAAACACTTGGTTCCACTTGAGTCCAAAGGGATCCAAAGCCACCCAAACTGCTTTGCTAAGTTGAACTGGATCGTCCCTTCAGAAAATTGTGTCATCTATGCAACTCAAATGGCTTCTTTGAAATGAATCTAGGCCTCTTTTCACAGACCTAATAGACTGACTACTGGATTGCACTACACTAGCACAGAAATTGAATTATTTCAGGCCATTGAACTTGGTTGTCAAACAAACTGACTTTTCTACCTACCATACATTCTCCACCAAGAAAATCAGGAATAATTTCTTTGTCAATGTAATCCAACAGTCCACCAGGACCCTGGTAATCATTGCCAGCGTAAATCAGGAATTTCTTTCGAGTGTTGTCATCAATGAAAGGGCTAACCTACAAACAAAATACTAAAGTAGTAATATTCCCAAGACATCAGATGAACACATTATTCCATTGGCCACTTGGGTCTATGCTCTAGCTGGATTTCTACTTATGGCTCCAAAAATCAAGCACACTATAAACATCAAGCTTGCCAATCTTGCCTATTTCAAAGTACACTGACCCCAATTTACAAAACACAAATTACTAAACAGAGAACCAACTTAAGAACCTACCAGAGTCCAAAGGACTGGAAACACTCTGGGAGCGCGGAGAATTAGAAGACGTCCTAGTGTTTCTGGATAATTAGCTTCTACCACCTCAATGATCCTCAGCAAGGCCTTGACCCCAGGTCTCCATAAGTGGCGCATGTTCAAGCCCTCCAGATCCACCAAACAAGTCCAAGAGCTGGTTTTTCCCAAAATAAAACACAATCAGCATGTTCTTAAATTAATCGAGCAATTATTTCATTGTGACATTATACAAATATACCATACTATATTAGATGTTTTTACTCCTCCCTTAAATTCTGATAAGTCGAAATGTTTTAAATCATAAATGTAATACCTGAAATATTTGTTAATGAGATAAAAAGAGAATAAATTTACCCTCCCCTCTTTCAAATACTTATAATTCTTTCAATATCCTTCCAACTCTTTCAATGTTTGTGTTTAATTGCATTGTTCACTCATGAAGAGCAAGCACTCCCAATTTCACTGATCCCATCTTTTTGGCCTTACAATATTTTTATTGATTTGTTTACATCCCATCCCAATTTATTGATTTTTTTTCATCCATTCTGGTTTTAAAATATTGTATATATGGAATTCCTAAACAGTCTTCTTTTCATACTTGTTCAATATAATTAGCAGAGCTACACAAGATGGTAGAACTATCTATTTTTCATACTGCTGTTGGGATTATTATCACTTTCCATTTCCACCTGCACTCATCTGGATCTATTCTTAGCTCTTAGTCTGAGGTATCTGACACTGCTGTTTAATGACTAAACTTTAGCAGAGTGGGTGGGATGCCAGAATCTTGCAGAATCAAGTCTGGCTATGTGTGCATGTTGCATAAATGACCACTGGAAATGTGCTAAACTGTTCCATTTCTTAACCTAGGACTTGATCAAAACATTGCACAGCAAAACTTTAACTCAATTAGCATAAACATGTCTTAAGTTCAGTGAAACAGACTCATGCGACTTCAAGAAAGTTTTTTTTACCTAATAGGCCTTCCAAATACTTTTGTATTTTCTTTACACCTCCTCAATCCTTCTTCATTTATAGATAGAACCTGCACATTAATAAAAATAAAATAGATGAGAATGTTGAATTATGTTGTTGTAAAATAACCATGGATAAAATTTCAGCCACAGTGTTACTTTGGGTTCAACTCTGATTTTTGTAAGTAATTTAAAAATAAAATAAAATGAAAGTTAGTATTTTTGTGTAGGATCTGAACTACAAAATAATTTGAATATCTAGTTTTGAGGAATCAATATGTGCATATATTTTAAAATATAAAATTATACCTGTTACAATTTTAAAATGAATTGCATATATCAGAAGACATTACTTTATATACTTCATAGAATGTTTAAAAAGAAATTAATATGATTTATGTTGATGACATAAGAAATGTGAAAGTTCATACAGTCTTGTCCATCTACAGCTTTGTTGAGATTTCAAATCATTACATATGTTAATACAATTTGGGGAAGAAATATTGCAGCCAAAGATCTCAAAGTAATGTTGAGCTATTTTTCTAAAATGTAGAATTTGTTATCTCATTGAGATGTTGGCACTTTGGAGCTAGATCATGAAAAAAATGGCAATTTTTTATGAAATTGGAAAAACAATTTCTCTCTTATATTCAGAAGCAGGAAGGCTGTCCTGATATCTGAGGATTTAACACCTCATTCTCCTATAGCTTAGCTGGCCAACAGTGAGAGATGCCTTATCTCAAGAGCAAAAAGCTGCCCATGTTTATTCTTGCACAACAGACAGAAGAAGCACATTACTATTCTAATAAAAGAGATATCAACATGAACAGATTGTCAATGACATTCTGGAGTGTTCCCCACTGTAATGTAACTTTTTCCAACTGACAATACCCTGCAGATATTTTGGACATGCTTAATAGGAGCAACCTAACTGCGGAACATCCAGTTATGCTAACTGATACAAGATAATGAAATGGGGATGTAACATTCCCCAGAGAAATCATCTGCAAATTGTATCTGAGGCACTTACATAGCGAAGCAGGGCTTCTTCTCCAAGAGCTCGCACCAAACCTTTGGTATCCATCTGGCCTAGTCTCAACACATATAGTGGACGCCCATCTGAACCAAAAGAATAATAATGGTAACATTCAAGTTATCTTCCGATAAACCAAGAAATGGTTAGAAGGCCTTCTTATTTTTCTCTAAAGCAAACTGGAATGATCTATACTTGCTTATCAACTTAATTTCCAACAAATTATCATAAGATGATACCTAAGTAAAGATGATAAAGATTTAACATTCATTAAATAAATGGCTAATACTTTTGACCGCTTGTTTAATGGCTGTTCAAAGTTATGAGGGCCTCAGGAAGGGTGCTTTACAGCCCATACAGCACTTCCAGCGACTGTAAAATGTCATACTGCCCCCAGCCCCCATGATCACACGACTGCATTTTGGGTGCTTGGCAACTAGCTTGCATTTTACCACTGGTTACCAAGAAACCCATAATCATGTGATCGCCATTTGCAATCTTCTCTACCAGAAAGCCAATTCTGGTCATAAGTTAAGGGTTGACTATATAGGAACTGCTGGCTTGAAAATGCTTACTATCATTTTCCTTTTTATTATTTCAATTTTTATGACTGCCCAGTTATATATCATTCATCACCTTTATTGTATTACTGTATTATAACGAGAAGAGACAATGTGAAAGAAAAAAAACCTAATATGATAAACAGAATATTTTCCCCTAGATGAACAGGACAACCATGAGTTAAGGACATACTGAGAAGTTATCAATGAAAGTTAGAAGACACTGGTCTAACTCTAGTGACTCTACACAGTCATGCCAGGACACCTTTCCAATGGGTATTTATTTTTGTTAAGAGTTTGAGGCCGCTTGATTCCAAAATGATTTTGGGTGGCTTAACATTTTAAAACTATTCATGATATAAGGGGGGAAAAATAGTGCCCAAACAAAGCCACACAAATAATAACTCCCCAAATCACCGGTGAGTCCCTAACCCGAAGCCTGAGAACAGAGGGAAATTTCCAGTGGCTTCTGGAAGGACAGGAACCATAGTGTGGGGATCCCAAGGTGCTTTTTTTCAAAAGGCAACTGGACTTTGATTTTCCTTGAAGACGTTTTGCTTCTAATTCACGAAGCTTTTCAGTTTGCTGCAGAACTGAAGCAGCTTCTTGGACGAGGAGCAAAACATCTTCATGGAAAAACGAAGTCCAGTTTCCTTTTGAGAACAGCACCTTTTGGACAACCATGACCTGGATGACTGATAATCTCCATAGACATAGTAGGGGGATGCTGTTCCAGAGAAGGTATGCTTCTCTGTTCCCAGGAGATGGCAATTAACTGAAGAAATCCGGAGCACACTCGCTCTGCCTGATCACAGTGAATGGGCAGAAACTATTGGGAACACGCAATCCCTCAAATAACCATACCCCCATGCCCAGAAAGGCTATAGAAGTGATGGTCAGCATCTTGAATTACAGCCAGAAGTCAACTGGCAACTAATACAGCTTGTAAAACAGCAGTGACACATGGGAGTAACATGAGACACCATTACAGCCTAAGTTCCTGAATTTTGGACCAGCTTTGGTCTTCAATGGCCTCCAAAGTTATAACTTGATTTGATTCCATGGCAGCATTTGGGCCAGTCGCTGCTATATGCTGTGTTCATCAAACTCCCAAACGGTGCATGATTGAAAACCGAGCAGAAATCTGAAGTTTGCAGATTGTTAATGTATTTTTTATAGTGTCTTAATCTTGCATTTACCACTTAAGAGTTGGCAATAACTGAAATAGCTTGCATGCCAAATAATGAAGCCAAGACTTCTCACTCTTTCTAACAGGATACCTATACCTTTATATCTTACCTTTTACTCCAACAAAGTACCTATCATTTTTAAGTACTTTAAGTAAGTCCCACTTGGCTCTCTTCAGCAAACCACACTGGCAGCATTTCAGAAGACCTAAGACTTTCCACTATAAAACTTCTGCATCGTCGTTACTATACCTTTGTCATGATGGTGCCAACCGCCTGCATAATAATCCTGCAGTACTTGAGGAGGGTTCCAGGTATCCAGGATGTAGTCCACCTGATGCTGTTTGCGCCACGTTAAAGACTGGCACAGGATTTCTCTGGCCTTATCAATGTTGAAATCTCGGGCACGCAAGAATCTTAAGATGTGCTCATCTTTGGGAATCTATAAACGTAGTAAGAACTGAGTAAGAACTGTCAAAAGTATATATAATACTCCCTAAGAAATTTTCAAGGAGTAAGTTGACTTAAGCACCTTTCTGTGCTTAAGCCCATCCCTTCTTCACAAGAAAGCTGCCATTTCTTTCATTCATTAATTCCACAGAAAAATAGAACAATTAGACAAGAAATTTAAAAGAATATTTGGAGAATACCTAAAAGCTTTGATGAGAAATACAGTGAACAGAAGTAAACTGGCATACACACACACACGCACACTCATTAACTAAATTCAAAACAAATAATTAAGACAATTGGAAGTTACTCTACAAACAATAAGTTACTCTATATACAGTGCTCAGCTCAGACTTCTGAAAAGAATAAACTCTTGGCTGCAACAGAAAAAATACTTTCAGGTGTTAAGCAATGTGATATTAAAAGCTTCCGGCCTTTTTTGCTGCTAGATAACAGACAACGTAAGCAGCATAAATAAAATGAAATACATAATTAAAGATAACTATCATATCATTTTTTTATTATTGTCATTGGCCAGCACAAAGTAACAATAATTTAACATATCAGCTCTGGAAAACTTAGCTAAAAGTAAAAAAAAATACTGGTATACAAAACTAAGAACTTACTAAAATACTTAAATCTATATAAAACTTATAAAGTAGAATTTAATTTGAATCAAGACTACATACAATGTAATATTTATTTATAACCCACCTTTACTATTTTTACAAAAAATTCATGGTGACAAACATAGCTAACACACTTTCCTCCTCCTATTTTCCCCACAACTCCTCTGTGTGTGAGAGTGACTGGCCCAAGGTTTACTCAGTTGGCTTTTCTGGCTAAGACGGGACTTGAATTCATGGTCTTCTGCTTTTCAGCCTGGTGCCTTAACCATGATGTTTCATACAAAGCCTATATATTTTAGTAATAATACAGTAAAAGTCTATTCTATTACTTAAATAATTATTTGATAAAACATGGCAATGAAGACTGAAAAACTAAATAACTGGAGTTAATAGATGATAATGTAAATATGACATAATTTCTGTTCAGTCCAACTAGCCTTTTTTAATAGTCAGTTCCTGATGTGGTCTATGGCTGACATATGTAAACATTCCCCAGAGGCTCTTACCACTCTCCCTTTAACAGGAACCACATGCTGCTACTTTTAAATTCAAACACAGCACTGTCAGGTTTGGGAAGTTATAGGGGTAAGGATGGGCGGAGATCCATTCAAATTGCAATGCTTAGATTTATAGTGTTAGCAGCCCATTTGGTCCTTCCTCTCCCAATCTTCTCTAAGCCTCTGCCAATAACATTTGTCTTATTCCTGCCCCACCACCAAAACAGAACACATGTTTTAGGTTCATCCTAGGGAAAAAAATGCAAGTTTTGGTCTTGCACAAACCATTGGAAATTGATCCATACACAAAGCAGTTCATGAACAGAATGTTTTGCATATCCTTCTTTAGGAAAAAAATAACTAGAAATCCAAGGACAAAGAAGATGTCTTATGGCAGAATGGAGAAGTGTAGGCAGGAAATATAAAAACATAGTCCAGGAAACTTTCTAGTGTAGTACCGTCATAAAAATATCACAAGGAGGAGGTCCTAGAGGAGGGAGATTCACATAATTCTGAAATAGATTTAGGAATCTAAATTTTACACTATGGGAAACTAAAGATTAGAATTTTCTAATCTATAAATAAATACACAAACAATTTTGTGCTTTGTTTTCCTTCCTCTGGACACTGACATTCTGCCAGACATTCTTGTACACCATGCATTTTTCTGATGGATAGGAAGCGAAAGAGAGACACATCCTCTTACTTTGCCTTTGTGTGTTTCCTGGAGCCACTGCCGAAGCCTGATGAGGCAGCTTTCCTGAAGTGGGGTCAGGTCGCCCAGATACCTCTTGATATAATCTGCATCTAATTTATCTGAAAAATGTAAGTAGAACTGTTTTCATTGCCCAGACTTCCAGTGGAAACCCTCATTTGCAAACCAAACTGTTTCAAGTATTCAATTATTTTATATAAGTTAGCCACTTTGATAGCAGTACTTATAGAAACTTTCATCAATTCTACAGATCCTTGTAAACTCCGCACTGCTCACTGTCTTCAACATCTACCATCCAGTTGATGGTAGCTACCAGTTGATAAAAAACAAAACTATGTATCTACTTGATATTCTTGAAAAGAGATATAACTGTACAACTGCTTGCCTGTAATTTTTTTTCTGACTAAATTAATTTAGTTCTTTGTTTGTATCCTTTAAATCCAGCTGAGATTATGATGGCATTCATGAAATAGTTATAAGAGGGGACAGGACAAACCACACACCATCAGGGGTTCCAGCCACCAGTTCTGATGCATTGTTGCACGTGTTGATTTCCTTGGAGTTCAGTCCCTCTTTGACGGAAGTTTCTGGTATGTTGATTGGAGGGGATAGCGACCGTCTAAAGTGAGTTGTGCCATGTTCAAATGCAAACATAGCAGGGGGAGTCCAACGAGGAATAAATGTTACACCTTCTTCTTCTAGCTGCTTCAAGTAGTACTCTATTATCTCTTTGCCCTTTCAAAACAAGACAATTCTTACATCAAATGCATTGTAAGCGCAGATGGCTGGGGTGTGTATGTGAGACAGAAGAACTCACATAATTAGCCCCTGACTGAAGAAAATTAAGTCTGCTGGAATTGCAGGAACCTAGCGTTATGTCAGATATTTCAGTTTAGCATTACAAATTCTCAGGTAGAAACTCAAGAAGAAAAGAACAAATATATTCCCGTGGTTTAAATACAAAAAGAAAAAAAAAAGAATGAAATGAAAAATATGTCCTCTGGATATTTTTGTTCAAAAACAGACATAACTGCCTTTTGAATCATGAAGATCATTCCAGGTCATGGGTAACTTCACTCTTTCTAAATATAAACTGTAAAGTAGACTATTTTTAGCGGCTTAGTGCTTAAAGGCCAACTTCTTCTAAACTTGTTTATTCTTCAGCAGAACATGATCCCCAATATTTTTGTATTCATTCATTCCTGTTATTGGACAATTATCTCTGACAAGATCAAAAGGTGGGAACTGATGATGGTACTTCTGGATGACCAGAATACACCATACTCAACTTCCCCTCTTGCCAATATAATAGAGTAGAACATGCCTCTAATAGAAGATGAGAGCAAACACAGACTATGAAGTATAACAAGATCAATAAGAACCTTCTCAGGAGCTGAAAATCGTTCCCAGCCTTCAGGAAATCACAACATTATTTGTGTATAAAATTTAAAATATTACCTTTTTAATATTGCTAGTGTATTGCTTCATAGCTATCTTTTCTACTGTGCTTTCAAAGCCAAAGAAAGATTTAATATCAAGACTTGCAGACTGCTCAAAACATGTCCAGTCTTCATTGTCTGGGTGCACCTGGAGATTTAAGAAATAAAAGTAGGCACAAGGTTTAAGAAAACCTTAATACAGTAGCACAGGACAATAATTTGTTCAGAATTGAATAGTGCAATTTTCCTTTTCTTCACTTACAACTTTTTTCTCTTTTAAATCTTAAAAACCGTGGAGCGAATAATTTCTTTGAATGGAAATTATTGGATCCAATAATTTGGAGAAAACCTACAAATTCAAATCTGGTGAATTAGATTTTCCTCAGATCAGAATTGCCAACAAAAATGACACCTTCTGAATATCATAGAACAATTTACATCACAACTTGTCTTAATTTGTTGGGTATATTCTTCTTGCTCCAAAACTCCCCTCAAGAGCTACTCATCACTATGCTTTCTCATCACTATGCTTTCTGAAAAGTAAGCAAGAACATCTCTTCAAACAAGTCTGTAAAGTCAAATCAATAACAATGCTTTATGGGTTAACTGTGCTTTTAATTGTTTCTATTTTTGTGCCCTTGGCACCCTAGATAGGAAAAACAGAACCATAAATAATTGAAACCATAAATAACAAAGAATGCTTAACTAGAAACAGCTAGACAGGCGTTCTTAGAAAGACTGTAATATACAATTGAAGCCTACCCCTTACTCACCGTATATGAGCATTTTTCATTAATGACAACTCTGTTTGAGAAAGTTTCATTGTGGGCCTCTATGTGTAAAGTGCGGTCTCTTCTATTCAAGGAGTTCTTTTGGACAAAGTAAACATAATCTACCCCTGCAATCTGAGAAGGAGAACAGAGATGAATTTAAGAAGCATCCCAATAGATGGTTATTTGGGCAAAGAACCGGACTAGGCGTTACCTTTTTCAGGAGCCGTGGAGCATCCACATCCAGTTTACAACGTCTTTCAGTCACGTGGATTGCTTGGTCGTCACTCTTGAATTCACTCACAGTATCACTGCCTACAAACATGGGGATGAGAGGGCAAGTGGGAAACCTTTTCTCATATGCCTGTAAGAAAAGGAGAATATAAACATCAACCTCTGTCACAAGACTCTCAAAGGCAGCATTTCACATACTTGTTAACTAATCACAAATGTCCTCTCCACTTTAATAAATGGCTGAATTCTATTCAACACTAAAATAGCTAGCTTGTATTTCTCACATATCTAACAAGATTAGTGTGTGGCACTGGAGGTAGGCAGTTGTCTTTCCAAAGTACTTCCTCCAAGCCTAATAAAGAAATTGAAAGCTTATTCCTTCCATACTGGTTGTCCCCAAGCATCATCATCATCTTCCCCATAATCCCTTGCGGGGTGGAGTCTGGGCAACTGAAATGGAGCTAGCAGAGTGTTTTAATGGCCGGATGCCCTTCCTGTCGCCAATGTAGAGTTCTGTTCAGCAGATATATTCTCAGTGTGCCCAGAGAGAGAAATAGCTGCCTCTTCCTAGGATTGAACTCACAGCTCCTGATTGTGAGGCGAGAGCTCCACCTCCAGGCCACCGCACCACTCTCAATTGTCCCCAAGCATAGCTATACAAACTGGGGCCATCATTTCCCAGTCTGTATTCATGCCTAAATACATACAGGTAGTCCTCAACTTATGACGGCAACTGAGACCTAAGAGACAGCAATCCCTGCAGTCCTGGTTGCCATCATTAATATGGTTATTAGGTAAGACAGCTTCCTACAGTCAAAGTTATTGGAGAAGCTGATAAAAGTTGCAGGTCCCAGGCTGGCAGGCAGGTAAGTGGCTGCTGTCAGTTGTGTGTGAGGCATGCTTCAGGAAGGGTGCACGAGGGTGAGGTATGGGTTGGATGCAAAAGGTTGTATGAGAGAAGTTGGGGAGAGTGTACGAGAGGTTTTGTGAGGGCATATTCATTCATAAACCAATCCTTGTATCAGATCAGATTCTTGTATGAGATCATTGTTACTTACCTATTCCCACACATTTGCACTGAAATCACTCATTAAGATGATCTGTCTGTGCATGTTTTGTGCATTTATTAATTGTATCATGCTTTTAACTTCTTATAATTTCTCTATTATGCCCTCATTTTTATTTGCCATAGGGGCATACATTTGGATGGTTAATACTGATGTGGTACGCTGCTAATTGTAATATCATGATATAATCCAGTTTCAGAATAAACTTTAAAATATTCCAGCATATTATTATTATTATTATTATTATTATTATTATTATTATTATTATTATTATTATTATTATTATTATTATT